CCTCAAGTTCTCTATCCTGGGAAGCTTCTTCACCGACGAGCAGGTAAGCGGCACCATCTTCTCCGGTCGTCGTTGGTCGGCGGGGGCGATCCTTCTACATCCTCTTCTCGGAGTTGTTCCTTGCCTCCTCCCTGCTCCTTCCATGGTTGAAAGCAATATCACTCCCTACTCGTTGTAGCTTAGAGATGTGAGCAGGTGGTATGGTAGGTTATGCGAGTATTGCGTCATGACATTGTGTGAGAATGTGGTAGATAAAATGCTAGTCATGTCGTTTTAGTGCTATGGTAGGTTTTGCTTGTCAACCATGATGATGTTCATGGTGTTGTGGTAGATCAATGCTTATGTGCTAGTATTGCTTGTTTTCCATTCCGTTCGATTCTAGTATGGTAGATTTTTCTTGTCGGATGGTGATGGTGTTCAGGGTGTTGTGGTAGATTGACGCTTATGTGCTAGTATTGCTTGTTTTCCATTCCGTTCGATTCTAGTATGGTAGGTTTTGCTTCTCGGCGGTGATGGTGTTCATGGTGTTCTGGTAGATCGATGCTTATGTGCTAGCATTACAAGTTTTCCGTGCTAGTATGGTATGTGGTAGTATCTGCTTAATGATGAGTCCATGCTAGTATGATAGATGCATGTTCTTGTTCAGCTAGTCCTTATGCTAATCATTATAGGAAATGACCATTAAGACTTTAGTACGACCCTTGTTCTGTCAGACACCCAGACATTTTCCTCCTATCTCGAGGACTCCCGGGCACCTTTGACTGGGGCCGCAAAGGTGTTTGAGGCGCGTCATGTGTGTTCTTTAGTGGTGGTGATGCTTGCGGTAGCTACTAAAGTGGCCGGTAAGGCTGGCAAGGCACATGAGGGTGTCCATGAAGGGGAATACAACGAAATGGACTTCTTTCTTGTCCACCTTCATTCTCAACTAGATGTGTGATTTGATAAGGGCTTCAAGAAGGTGCGCCTAAACACTGTTGCAAAGATGATGTTTGGTTTTTGTGGCACATAGGTGACCTCAACACAGATGTACAACCATCTTAAGAAGTGAAGGGTGAGATGGATCCAAGTGTCCAACCTTACAGAACTTAGCAATGCACAGTGGGATCAAGATGCCTTCAAAATTTTGTTGGAGGCTAAGCACTACCAAAGACACATCTCAGTTATCTAACCTAGCCTTGTTTCACTTGATTTAACATGGTAGTCAAAACTAACAACGTTGTCTTTCTTTCTTAGGATCATCCGAAGGACGTTGAGTATCTCAACATGTCCTTTTCTCTGCAGGTAGGCTCGTAGCCTCCTCCATCCCATGTGGTCCAATAATAGGATATATGTGTAGGCATGGTGTCCTATTTTTGCCGGTTGTGGTCTTTTGTCTTGTACTTTTTCTTTTTTATTTTACCGGAGATGTTATTCGCACTTTGATACTTGGTTCGTTCTAATAAATGGTTGTGTGCATCGCTTGACACATAAGTCAAGGGTAATCTTCCTTTTCGAAAAAAAAACTCCTCCATCACTAGCCATCTTATTCTTGACCCGCATTTTTCTACAAAGTCATAGAAACACGACAAGCAACACGTCCATATGTTGCTTAATTTGCTTTGTAGTTCTTTTTTCGGGGCATTGTTTATCATGCATATGCAAGGAAGAAAGTAGTACTTCTACTTTGAAAACAACGAAAGAAACTCCATATTCATCAAAAGATAAATAGGAGAAGGCTTGGCTTTACTACCACGGCCGTACGTACTGGTGTTCGGGCGACTCGGCCACACCATACAGAAATACGGTTGGATTAGCTGAGCATGATTTTTATATCTCAAAATGAAATCTGTTTTGATATGTTTTAAGAGAATGCTTGGGGCCTCCAACAACCCATTAGAACATGACTAGTGTGACCCAGTTAATGAACATTATTTGTTGACTTCAAACCGTACATACAAACAAGCAAATCATGTAGTGACATGAAAACCTCAGGGTGATACCAAGTAAAGTACAAGTAGCAGTAATTTAGCAATGTGTGTTTCACACTGTGGTATTATTGCAGGCACATCAGATAGCTCCTCTGCCAACTATACAGACAGGGTACTTGCTACTCAACACCCACACACAAATTTACATACTTCCATCACACTCTACAGAGGCACAATTTCACAAACCAAACTACACACCAGCTGCTTCTGTCTCTCATCTGGCACCCTTTCAGTTCATCGCGTCAATCATGCACAAGTTTTCCCATCTTACAAGATGCCATTACACAACACAAGGATCATGTGCCAGGCAGCATTTTTATTGCAAAACCTATACAATACCAGTGTCGCGGTGGGCGTGTCGTCACCGCCACCGCCATGCAGGTGTGCCCGCTCTGAAGTCACTGGCCACAGGCGATCCCGGCTTCGGAGAAGGCGGCGACGAGCTTCGGCAGTTGCTTGCCAAGCATGATCTTGAATCCGGTCGAGCAGCTCTTGCAGCCATCATCTGATATGTACGTGCTGTCGCGAGCATGACCGACGAGATCGCCGCCGAGGTATGCGTTGCAGGCTTCCAGGATGTGCGGCGCGCGGCAAGTGAAGTGCTCCTTGACGAAATTTTCAAAATGCTGGATGGAGATAGGAGGAGAGAGACCCATCAGTAATATTCATTACCAATGTTACTTCTTAATGTTGGAAGGTGCAGCAGAAGTTATTTAGATACTGTATGTAGGTTTGTTAGGGGATGCATCTGAGATACAGTGGGGGGGAATCTTGGTTTACGTTTTACTCAAAACTCATAGCTACCAAAATTCAGTTAAGCCCTATCAGTTTTGTCAGAGCAAGTGTATGGGATATTCAGGTCATTCGTTAAGTGCAAAATTCACAGAGTTGGTGACTTACCTTTGGTGGTTTGTGCAAAATGTACATCATGGACTTGCAAGACAGCAAGAAAGCATTCTCGTTGTACGTGATGGAGTTCTTCTCCCCGTCAGCTTTCCCCACAAATTTGTCGTAGCCCGCCTCATTGAAGTAAGGCTTCTCGTTGAGAACAAGAGCCTGAAGAGATAGCAGCAGTTGAAGAACAGTCGAGCCCTCCGGATTCCACACCTCATTACCAGTCCCTGCCCATGTCTTCAGAAGGCTTAGACATACTTTGCCGGTTTCGTACAAGTTTGGGTTGAGGCGGAGGCCTCCGGAGTGATAGTGAACGGACTGGAAAAAGAAAGTTACTGTTCAGCAGCTAGACGATCTCAGCTGGGAGGTACACACACGAGCAATAGAAAAGAAAACACTTACAGGTGGTTCATGAGGATAATCCGGCGGGAAGAAAATATCAAAGAAAAATAAATTATCATGATAAGGCGTTCCAGCTGCCCCAACAATGCAAGCCCTCAGAAGGTCCATCCTTTCCTCATAAACTCTAACATGGATATCATCTGCATTGAAGCAAAGAACACCATGTAAGCGATGTACCAGAAAATATGTTTCATGTTTTCATCAGTTATTTCATGAATATAACTTGCTACCAAATCTAATTAGAATGGTTTTCTGTTTTACTAGGTAAGGTCCCTGCAGACAAGTGATTGAAGCCAAAGCTAATATTACGGGGATTTATTGAATGTAAAAAAAAGCCCAATATACACTAAATTTGTTCAAGATGTTTTTTTATCATAAAGTGAACAACTCAAATATTGTGTGAGTTACTGAGTTTCCACTTACTAATGTTTGCATAATTCTAGATTTAATTTTGACAGCTCGTTAGTTTTATCAGAGAAGGTAAGAACACTGACAACTCACAAGAGTACGCATGTTCTGTTCACACATTCAATTTTTCATCTTTGACAGTTTAACTAGCTTGATCAACTTCTCGTACTCGAAATAATAATCGACAAGATAACATACACATGATAAGCTAGACCTTTTTAACTTCAATCATCTCATAAAGATGTCAAACAATAATTTTTTGAGAAAGGAACCTTAAAATGCTATGCTGTCCTGTGGAGTGTAGAACATTTTAACCACAAACCAATTATATAAGCTTGCATCATGACAGATTCGCATCTATGTGTACTATTAAAGTAGAGTTATGGTATATATAAAACCATGTTATGGTAGACTAAAAAATAATGCCAAGTTATAATAAACATAAACAGATGCTAAAATTCTATATGCAATGAGCCAGTGAAAAGATTCAGTTTCATGAAGGACTTGCAATGGACAATAAAGAACAAGAAATACTGACCTGGTAAATCATTTTGTAAGATTGTCCATTCCTGTTGTATCTTCTTCAGCCAACCTCTTTTAACCTAATATATCAGGAATTAAAGATTATAACAAACAATTTGAACATGCTACAGTAGCTACTGCAGCTCTAAAATAGAGGAATAAAGTTGATTTAGGTGTAAAATATTACATTTTCGTGGCCACGTTCCTTCACAAAATGATGATCAGAACAGTCCACCACAACATCAAATATTTTTACGTCATTTTCTGAAGGTAACTGTGGCTTCTCGGTCTGCATCACCAACTCCACAACGGAAAATTCTTCTGCAGATGAATGTAGATCTGCTGACTTCACAATTTGATACTGAGGATCTGTAGTAATCTGAAACCACGACTTGATCTTAGAGTTATGAAAATTAAACATAAATTATTTGGCAAGGTATAAAACTTACTGAGCTAGATGATGTAGAATCATGAGCACCAAAGAAACTAGAAGCCACATTTGTCAGAAAATCGAAAGCTGTTTTGGAGAAGTAGAAAGCATTGCGCAATGAACCAGTGCAGTCTTCACCAGACTCTTCCAGGGCATTCTGGGTGAAAACAGCAAGTTGTTGCTTAAATTTGAATACATGTAACCAACAAATGGTACAGTGGAAGATGCAAACCCAAGCTAACCTTAGTACTCTCATGGTGATTTGTTTCCTGCTCAGCCTCGTCGTCGACAGAAGTATGCACCTCATTCACAGATTCTAGTGAATTATCTAGAAGTCTTTCTAATCCAATTATTTCAAAATGTTGTGCCTGAAATTGATACAAGGGAGAAATATATGTTACCAATAGTCTGGACAGACCATGTATCTAGAAAAGATGGGTGAAAAAAGGAGATAAAACACAACAAAACAAAAGGAAGAAAACCAACTCAAAGATAAGCTTACCTTGGATATCACACCACTAGCCCATTGTACTTCAATTCCATCATCCTTATACCCAAGAACATTGCCAATGCATGACAAGAAGCCGGAGGAGGTATCTAAACTTTTCCTGCTAACTGTCATGGTTCCATTGGTGAGATCTGCTTCAGACTTGTCGATGTTCAGAGCTGATCTGATAACGACTTCCCCAGTGCAAAAAGAGAAATCTGGGTGCTCTACTAGCTCATAAGCACTCACTGTCTCCTCAGTGGGGTCACTTCCATATCTGACAATGTCATCATCCACTGGAACAATCCATTTTACGTTTACAGTCCGCTCAAGTGCATCCACATTTCTCACTATCCCAATCCGCTGACGTTCAGCAGCTTCCTCTACTGCCAGTTTCTCCAGAACAAATTGCCCTGGCCAAAAATCATGATCACCGGGGGTGCTAACAGGAGCCAAGATATAAGGTTCTAGCCCAAGAGATATGCTTCCATTTTGCCATAGAACGTCAAAAGTGCTCTTTGTCTTAGCAACAACATAAGTTTGAGAATATCGAGAACACTTACGGTCTTCACTTGGGAGACTTCCATCATGACCAGCAGAGAGGGTGCACCAATCACCCAACTGCCAGTTAGCATAAGGGAAGCATGACAGCAAAGTGAGATTCTTTGGGTCCTGAAAGTTTGGTGGACTTGATGATCGGTCACCCCAAACATTTGCCACAGAGGCTATCCAGTTCACATGCACCAGCCCCACATCAACATGAGACACAACACCTTCATCTCGGCTGGCCCTCCATGATCCAGACAACCATGTTCCTGACTTGGACACGGAGGGATGAACAATCCTCACGCGTTGACTTGGATAATAAAAATAAGGTGCATCTTCAAAGATGAATGGAGGAATGGGCTTCAGTACCTCAGAGTCCCTTAACAGCATTTCACACTTTGCCCCATCACTGAACACAACGGTGACCAGGTCAAATGCCCTGATCACCCGCCCAATCCATGGTCCCATAACCACGCAGTCACCAGAGACAAAGGATCTCACTCTTGAAAGCTGCTTGCTGTTGACATCTTCTATTATATCACCAGAGTATGTCTCCAAGTCCACAAACATTTCAACCCCAACAACGCGGCCCAACTGACCTGAGGGGTCAGACACAGGGCAGACTATGTCCCCATGAAGAAAGCCTCTTTCAAAAGTAAGGAAATCATCAATCTTGCCGATGCTCTCGTCCAAGCTTGATAAGATGCTCTGTGCATGGTCTGTAAATTCACATTCTTGGTCCTCACTGTCACTCGTTCCACTGTATGACTCACTGTCTGAATCAATTACAAACAGATCCATGTCTGCAAGCCCTGCAATACCACATTTTGTCATTTTGTATGATATGAAACAACCAATTGTGTTAAAAAATATTAGATTAAATTCGGTCCCACCTTTTTGTAACAAGCTGTGTTCTGTGATGATGTAATAAACTAAAGAACCGTCTCTGAACAGCAAGTGTAAGGTCAGCACACTTGAGTGCTAATGCCAAAGGATCCCTGATAAAGTAACAGTAACCGCCAAAGGAGATTTGCCCAGATAGCAAATAAGAAACAGTAAGATTTGGTGCCAAAGGAGATTTGCCCAGCCTAGTTGCCGGTGGAGATGTGCCAAGATAGCAATCTATAGCTAAAGCTAATTGGAAGCAAAAGAATATGTAAGGAAGGAGATCAGAAGAACTAGGTAGATTTGCCAAAGGAGATTTGCCGAACTATAGGTAGGTTTTGCCAAAAGGAGATTTGCCCCGAACTACTGGTAGGTTTCGCCAAAGGAGATTTGCCCAGAGAACTACAGAACAGTCGCTGTCTGAAATGTTCAGTGCCAAGGGAGATTCCAGAAGAACTGCAGAACAGTCGCTGTCTGAAATGTTCAGTGCCAAGGGAGATTCCAGAAGAACTACAGAACAGTCACTGTCTGAAATGTTCACCGCCAAAGGAGATTTGCCCTAAAACTAGGAATTGCTTGTCACAGGAAATGATTTCCAGTGGAATGTGTTTGCTTTCGATGATCACCAGACATGAGAAGTTATCAGAGAATATGCCACCACCCAATGAACAATATTCATCCCAAGAGCAACCAACGACTGTTCAGATTAGCTGATCCTGCAAACCATATCAGAAGAATGTTAATCCAACTGTTCATCTTCTTAATAGAACAACACAATTCAAGTTGAGAAATAGACTAATGTGTTTGCATAATCTCAATAAACACGGATATAAGTTAATCCAATAGCTTAATTAAAAGCCATGCTGAAAAGAAACTGCAGGGATCAGGGTCGTTTTATTTGTGAGCAACATTCTAGCATATAATAGTAGAGACGTTTATGATATCTAATAATAAAAAAGAAAATCTAAATCCCAGTGCTAATAATCATGCAAAGTCTTATTCATATATACATACTATAAACAGCTAACTAATGGTTTATTCAAAAATAAGATGTCCAAGAAACTCTAAATCCCAAAAGAGGATGTCAATTGGACCCAAAACAAGAAGAATCTGTGTGTTTCTATGGATCCAAAGAAACTTATACAAGGCGCAAGAGCCAGTTTGTGTCACAAGGATCAATCCCACAGTGGACAAGAACTAAAATCTGTTCAAAATGGTGTGTTTATCTTTAATGCCGCTTGCATGCAGTACATAGGTAAAAAATGCATAAATAAACTGGTAAAAGTTTGTTTCACCAATAGATGTTAGGATGCTTTGAAATGACCGAATAGGCAGGACCTAAATCAAAACTGACAAAATGGAACACTTGAAAGTTCATGCTAAAAAGTAACTGAATAAATCTAGATCGGAGTATCAAAACTATGTATTAAAGTATGTACTCAACAACATGACTGGCTATAATAAGTCTGATCTGAGGAACCTAGATTTTAGCTAGCAAACACCGAGTCTTTATTTCGACACCGAAGTTTTGGATCTTGTCATAGTAACAACAACGAAGACGACAAACCGCACATAGTTCAGCATCATAGTCGATCCGAAAACAGCTAAAAGACAACCTATAAGCCTGCCAAACAAATCACAACAAAACAACAGCTTCCGTGCTCATTATAATCTCCTAAAACCGGCAAGAGAAAAAGGGAACAAACTAAAGCCTTGCACCCCATACCACCACACCCAAAAAGGGCAAAATATCATCCACTCGAACAATTCTTGCGGCGAGCATAAAAACCCAGATGTTTCACTACAAACTGCGAAAAGCTAACGACATAACAGCTGAGCCACCCAATTTTACAAGCAGAAGCCGCCTTCGCCTTCGCCGCGGTAGGGAACCGATGTTGCGACGCCGCTGAGATAATAAGCTGTGTTCAGCACAACTGCTACTACTGCTCGACCAGAGCCTCCTGCCTATGTCCAATCGATCTGGGCTGACCCAGGCTAATACTAATAATTGTTTGATTACACATAGTCAAGACTGAAGACAGGGACACTTGCAGTTGGGGGCTTCAGAATAATTGGAGGAAGACGGATCGAAATGGCATCTTGAAGCATATTCCTGGTTCCGAGGAATCGGGCTGGCGTAGTGATGGCCATGTTTTTTGGATCGGCATGCATCGTTTTGACTAAATTTCACCCTGGAGGCTGCAGGCATGACACTGACGGTGCGGGTTTAATACTGTACTAGGAAATCGGACGTTGAGTGCACGCATCCTCGTTATAAACAAGCACATGGGTGCGGCGAAAGAAAGGGGCGGCCGCCGGCCCGGAAGGCAGGGCGGCGGCGGCGGCGGCGCCTCTGCGGCAATGCGAAATGAACAGGAAAAAGGTGAGGTAAAATGGCAGATTGGCAGTACCTGTGCCAAGCCCAGCCCGCCGCCATGGCTGAGCCAATCACTGAAGAAGAGGGAGCAGGCCTCCCCTCCCCCCGCGCCTCAATCCATCCCCGGACCCGCCGACCATGGCCAGCAAGCCCGCCCCCTCCACACCCCCTCCAAGAAACGACCGGCACAACCGCCTCCGCCTCCTCCTCCTCCTCCTCCTCCTCGTCGGGCCAAATCTCAGGCACGGCGCGGCGGCGGCGGCGGGAGGAGGAGAGACCGAGAGACGTAGAGAGAGAGGGAACGGGGGGCTTCCTTGCTGGGTGCTCTGCGCTGCTGCTCGTGAATGGTGAATGGTGATGGATGGTGGCGCTGGCTGGCGGGGCAATTTCTACGGTGCGCAAGGCCTCGCCTTTCCGATTCTTTTGATTTGTTTAATCGTGGTGCGCGCGCCTAAACTTAATCGAAATCCTCCTAAATTCCCTTGCGCTAATGGGATTCCTCCCTTCCTGTCCGTCGCTTTATCCTTTTTTCCCCGAGAATTCTCCCCCTCTCGGTGCCTGCCGGGAAACCAGAGTTTTGGACTCTGCTTTCTCTCCACCCCCAACCAACGTGCCCACTGCTTTCACCTGTCACTCGTCCCCTCCCCTCCCCTCTTCTCAAGAATGAAAACAGGTAGGAGTACTCGACGACTCGAAAATAATGTGTGCCTAACATCTGTCGGAACTCGGTACATAAACCGGTAAAGTAAATCGATGAACAATGAAACTAATACGAAAACCATAAATTCTGAATGTTCAGATTTTAAGCATGGCAACCCGAACGTTTTTCATGGCAATTTTACTTCACGCGAGGTTGGCAAACATCATGATTTTCTGACAAAAAAATCGGACCGGGGCAAAGTTGCCATGTTTTAACAACTAAAATTGCCACTTCGCGTCAACTAGAGTTGCCGTGAAAAAACGTGCAGAATGACATGCTTAAAATTCGAACGTGGGATTTATCGGGGTCCAACTAATATTGGTTTAGAAAAATAGTAAATTTTGTATGTTCTTTTCTTTATATCTATGAAAAATATTAAAGAATACTTTAATTTGTAATCATGAGCCTTTTCAGAGGTCTGACCATGTCAAGCCCCCGAACAACAAAAGAC